CATGTCTTCGAAATTTAATTATTTTGCTTCAAAAAAATAACGCAGCATTTCCCCCAAACCAACCCAGTCTACATTTAAACAATGAAAAAAAAAAATATTTGAGTGTTTTAAAGACGGAAGAATAATGTGGTTTTGCATTCGAGGCTCTCAAACCTGTTTAATAAAATGGCACGTCGAATGACGATTTTAACGGAATTTGGTAATTTGTATATAACTTTTAAATAAAAGGATATTTTGTATTAAAAGACTATCCCGTAGTTTTTGTCATGCCCTAGCCTATCTACCATAAGAATATGAGCGAGATCGAATTTTTCACCCTTGCCGCGAAATTAAGAATTTGTCTGATTTTTACCGACAAGCACTCTTAAGAACAATCCACTTAAACATTAAGTGCCACTCCCGCTAACAGCGGTCCTCTCGACTTCCTGTCCAAAAAAATTTTCCTTAATCTTTTTCATATCAAAAGGGTTTAGGACACATGTTTTAAAAATAGCGTGTTTGTTTTCCAATTCTCTTTTTTTGCCTCGCCACAAGCAAAAATTGACTTTTGGCTAGACCACCCATGTAGACAAAGATCGAAAGAGTAATTTTCACAGCTGTTGTCGAGGGCGCTGCGACTATGATAGTGTACTTCACGGAGTTTTCTCTTGCTTAAAGTTGTAAACTATATTCAGTCAGTTCACAGACAAAATATGGAAACTTCACTTGAAATCCTATTCATACCAGCGTGATCAGAAGAGACCCTTCACTTCGACCTTAATTTGCATATCAAAAATTAGCCAATTTAAAAGAAATAATTCTCAAACTGCAGGCCCAAATCGGGCTAAAAAAGCATAACGGAGGATACATTATACAACAATGAGGTCACCGATTGCTTCAAACCTGCGGTCATCTATCTAGCTTTCATCCACCATTATCTTAAAAACAGCGCAAATCAATGTCTTTACATAATCACGCATGTGTCAAAAGCTAATTTGCATAATTCTGAAAGATGACCAAGATATGTCTTTGACTGTTCAAACTTGATTCTTTTATCTTCTACGTAAAGTATTTTAGGTTTTCATAACGGTTGGATAGTAAATAAATCGCGAGTTGCCCTAAAACGTTGCATAAACATGATCAAACGTAACGCTTGCATGACTTACAAAGCAAACAAAGGCGATCGGAAGGCGCGTCCTCGATAATCTTTCTTGAATCAGGTCAAGAGCCACGTACAGAGTGGAAAAGATCAATATTAAAGAATCCAATTTGGCATTATGGTCATTGCAGACATACTGTGTAGCTTAAAAGGACACACAAACAAGTTAAAATACATGTACGTTACTGTGTTATTTACAAAACAACCTTTTGCAAGAATTATTGCAGTTTCTACCGAGGTTTAGCACACGGAATGCAGTCCACAGGCCCTCCTTCCTAAAAAATTTCTGCTATCACTAGAGATCTTATGTTGTTGCAGTCCTCAACGTTCTTGCGCGACAAACTTAATCTTTTCCTGCGACTATCAAAACCAGCTGGGCAAATACTGCGTTGCGTGATTATGCTAATTAATTGACATGTCATGTGACGCAAATGTTGGTAACAAAATACACCTCTGTTAGTACATGAATATAAAGTCCAGGAATATGAGTGTAAAAATATTTTCGTAGATATGGTACTTCAGACTTTTCGATTGTCCGAACGTCAGCGTAACATACCTCTCAGCTTGGAGGTAATTTGTTCATGATAAAGATATCCAAGCCGAGAATACTGGCGAAACGATGGCAATCCCCTCTACATTTCCCTTTATAACAATGCTAACTTTCTTTGTCTCCATACTTTTGTTTTCAATGTATGATGCATTTCGCGATGAAATCAGTCGAAGCTAGGGACCGGTAATTATAATCTGGGAGGGGTAAAGGGGGAAATCGGAGGATTTTGATAGTATTACAAAAAATTCCACCTAAACCCGCCCTAGGGCTTTCTGATATTCGTATAACCCACACTTTACAATCTTCGCATGCGGAATGTTCGCTTTCAAACGGTTCCTTTATTCTTTATTTCGTCTTCGGACAGTGTTTTTTTGTCAAGCGCAGTTTTGCGGTAATTGTAACAATGTAAGTATTGTCGTTTCAAGTTGGCTCGGTGTAATTGTTTCCTATCCCCTTTACTTAATCAATTGTTGTAATTTTGTATTTATTTATTACTTTTAAGTTTCAACCCACATCGTTCACCGTCAATAAATCGGCTTTTTTTAATCAGTAACAGCAGTTAATTTTCGTCGGTCCCCCTTTAAATTCTGCTGGCGACAACTTATCCCCACTTTGCTTCCCCTAAAAACCACGTAATTCCCCGCTGGCGATAAATAGTGACAGGTTTTTCCACTAACTATCCCCACTGCGAATGTAACTTATCTCCGTATTTAAAACACCTGAAAACTAGTTAATGTAACGATCGAAAGTCGTGAAATTGAATAAAGCACAGAGTTAGAGATAGCCTTTCTAAATTTCTTGGAAAAATGTGCATTCGTAACAATGTCACTCAGTTTCTTGAGTAAGATGGCCTTCAAATCTCTGTCTTCGAAAGAATTGTCAACAAAGGCACAAATTTTACTCAGCGTGGTGACTTTAAACTTCTCTAACGTGTCATTTTTAACATGTTCGCAAATATTGTGCCCATGATAATACTGGATGAGCAAGTCTGATTTCGGAAATAACATCCGCTACATCCTTTTTCCTTGCTTCATGTTCAAGGTAACCGTTTTCTTCATCGATGAGACTTCCGTCGTCGTCGTCGTTTGCATTCTGCTCTGGATCTTACAGGACTGTGTCTTTTCTTCCTTTCAAAGCAGAAAGCCTCGAGAAGAAGCTTTGAACCTGGCTCTTCGTTAGCCATTCATTTCTGGTGATTTTTTTTCAGATGGTAGTACTTCAAATGCCTTGATACGTCGTCCTATGATGCTAGCATTCCAAGAGAGATATTGGGGCTGAAACTCTTAAATACCCGCAGGCACTACAATTTTTGCGTTCCGTGAGACACGTAGACATTTTTGTGCGATAAATTTCTCAAAACATATCAATAACTAAATACCCTCTCCTCTCCGCTAAACAAACAGGTGAGTGACAGACTTAGCTATAGCGAGGGGGCTGGATCGAGACCTGCCAGGACCTTCACACCCTCAAAAATATGGAACAAGGGGGGAGGGGGGTTGACCAATGTCAGCTCAAATACCATCCCCAATTTCTTTACCTCAGTCCACTCATAACTCTCGGTTCTAATTCGTTACATCAACTACTTTTTAGTTACAATTTACATACCCGCAAAAAAATGCAAGTCATGGAACAAATGGACTAGTTACCATAATCACGTCACGCAATATACCAAGCCGGGTTTGGTCGCAGGGAAAGATTGAGCTTGTCCCTCAAGAACGTTGTGGACTGTAACAACATAAGACCTCTAGTGATAGCAGCAAATGTTCAGGAAGGAGGGCCTGTGGACTGCATTCCGTGTGCTAAACTTCGGTAGAAACTGCAAGAATTCTTATTAAAGATTGTTTTGTAAATAACACCGTAACGTACATGTATTTTAACTTGTTTGTGTGTCCTTTTAAGCTACACAGTATGTCTGCAATGACCAGAATGCCAAATTGGATTCTTTAATATTGATCTTCTCTACTCTGTACGTGGCTCTTGACCTGATTCAAGGAAAATTATCGAGGAAGCGCCTTCCGATCGCCATTGTTTACTTTGTAAGTTATTTAAGCGTTATGACTGATCATGTTTATGTAACGTTTTAGGGAAACTCGCGATTTATTTACTATCCAACCGTTATGAAAACCTAAAATACTTTACGTAGAAGATAAAAGGACCGAGTTTGAACAGTCAAAGACATATCTTGGTCATCTTTCAGAATTATG